GCCCACCTTGATTCTTATCTTCCTGATGCTATTAATTGGCCCTTGTGTAATTAATGCATTAATGTCATTCATACAAAAGAGGCTTGGAGCCATAAAATTAATGGTAATGAGAACTCAAAATGATTCCATCCCAATGGAAGAACTGAGTCAATGATTCGACTCAGGAACAAGTCAAAGAGGGGAGTGAAGTAGGCCCTGAGAAGAGAATAGTACAGCTTCTTTCCAGGCTGCCTTTGTTTTAGGGATTTTAGGAAAAAACCTCTAAACAAGGTTAACTGGACCTTGGCTCCAACCAGCCCAGTTTTTGGAATGGAAATGGAAAGAATGCCTCTAGGTCGCCCTCCCCTTAACAACTTAACCCATCTTCATTGTTTCGTTAAGGACTGACCCATTAAACAGATAGCCAGTAATCTGGCTCATACTGACAACATCACTGGCTTACCATAAACTCCGTCTTTTTCACGTGCTTATGTTAAACTCCACTAAACTCCTCCTTTGTGTATGCTTACCATAAGATCTGCCTTACCATTGAATTGTGAGTCATTTAAACCAAAAGTGATAGGCTGGTTTAAATAGCTATTATGTGACAAAGAGTAACCTCATTGGCCACCTGCATGTGGTCTAGTATGACTGTACAATCTTTTGGGTGTGTGACAATCTCATTGGTCACCTGCGTGACCAAGCTTGACCTTGTGAATTTTGCCTTTAAACACCTAAGCACGTGGGCTGCTCGGGGTCGCAGTATCAGCTCCAGAGCCTGTGCTGTGGCCCTGGCTGGTCAGTGTAGGAACCTTCTCAATAAAGTTGCTTCCTTATTAACAACTTTGTTGCGGTGGGCTCTATCACTCCGGACAACTAGGTGGGCTTGCCTGCCTGAGTAAGGGTCTTCCTACTACAAGTAGGGGTCTTCCTACTACAACTATGTCATAATGAAAGCTGCAAAGCTCTGAGAAAGGGGTAAGGAGAGAGGAAGAGATAGAAATAAAAAGAGGGCCCAAACTTTTTGAAAGTGCATGGTATGCATGCCATGTATGGAATGGTCACAATAAAGCCCCTGCTATTAATGTATGCTCATTCAAATAAAAACTTAAAAATACAAAAAAAAAGAACCTACTTGTTCCAACATAAGGCAGTATGATAAGCCAGATCTCTGTTCCCCCAAATCTTACTCTGTTGGTTGTCTCCAGAGCTGTCATAGAAATAATCTTGCAGAAAATGGCTTCTGTTGGACACAGGAAAAGCTCCCTTTTTTCTACTTCAAAAGGAAAAAGGAGGTTGCCTATTCCCAGATATGACTTTGGTAAGCTATCTGCTGGTACCAAATATAATTTGAGATCAGAGACAGCCACGATTGAGTCTGTCATTCACTGGTGATCCACCCCTGGGAAAGTAAATTAACCAGTGTTTTCTCAGTCTCTTTTCTAATCATATTTACCTGTAGGGACATAGAGAACTTTATACGATGATAAAGTGAAGTACACAGGAATAGAAACAGAATCGCGGCAATGACAATAATGAAATTTGCAGGTTAGAGACTCACAAAAAGAAAACTATAATATCCACCTTGGTCATCTGAGAAAAATGATACAGACATATAGATAACTCACACATGCCACTTGCTATATTTTACTTCAACTATGAAAAACATACATCACAAAATGTGTTGGAAAAAATCTCTGCTTGGGAAGTGGAAATAGGAGAATTATGGTTCAAGGTTAGCCTGATGAAAAAAGTTAGCAAGATCTTGTCTTGGAAACAGACTAGGTACGGTGGCACATGCCTGTAATCCCAGCTACTCAGAAGGTGGGTGTAGAAAGATCATAGTACAAAGTCAGCCCGAAAGAGCAGGATAATAACAACTGAAAGACAGGCAAAAAGCCAAATAGCAAAGGAGTCATTCAAGAGGTAGAATATTTGTCCATCAAGTATGAGGCCCTGAGTTCAAGCCTTAGTACTGTCAAATGATTTTATTTTTAATTTTAAAATCTATTGGATACAGCTCCCTGGCTCAGCTCCTCCAATAATCTTATTGATTGTGCAGTCTGTAGAGCCAAAAAAGACATTTACAAACCTTACTGTTAAGGAGCAGAAGATTGGTTAGTTTAAACAAAGGCAGATTATACATAAAGGGAAGATTATGTTTTAATGGCCTATAAAATTCATAACTGGTGACAAATCCCTTTTCAATAAATTAAATAACCTTAATTATTTAATAAATATGAATATTACAGAATGTCTACCCACTTGAATATTACAGAATGTCTACCTACTTTAACCACCATTTTTCAAGTGAAAACCCTGAAACAAATTTTAAACTTCATTAAGGAGTATTAGATGGGAAAAAAAGTGAAAAGCTCACAAAGCCAAGACTTCTAAACATTTGGACATTTTCCAAATTCATCTCCCAGCCTTGTTGCTTTCCTACTTTTTCCTTCTCTTTTAATTAAGTTGAACATCTTCTCTTCCCTGTCCAAAAGGCAGTGAGAATTTCGGGTGTTTTCAGTGAACTTCATACCAGAACAGCAGCCCTCAATTGGGGCTGTAAGCTTCACTTAACTTTTCAGATTGCCTGAGGATGATCTGGTAGCCTGTTCTCTTGCCTGAGCACTGAAATTTGGAGTTCCCTCTGAAAAGTCTAAGGTGCAACTCAGGTTGAAAAACCTCTGTGCCAGAAATGGAGACATCCTAAGCTTCCTTTCCTTGCCATTCTAAGTCAGTGCTGAATATTTTGGTTCAGCAGCTGCTTTACAATCAATTTGAAGCACATGTCTTTGAGTTTTTCTTCTATTTGGGGAGAAGATAGGACTATCGAGTTTAGTCTCACCTGTAATAGTCACTGGATAAATGACACTGAATAAGTTGGCATGCCTTGAAAATATACACTATGGCAATCGGAGAGTCCCATAACCTGGAATGGGGAGCCTGAATCCTAGATTCATCCTCTGTAGGTTCAGTCGGTCCCTTGACATCTAGATATCTGAAATTTGGAAGGAAGTATTTTCATGGGAAGCTCTCTAAGAGAAGATAAATAACCTGGCATGCAAAAAGAATCCTCTCTCTCTCTCTTTTATTGTGCTTGTACAGAAGCGTGAAGAAAGGCCTTGTGTTCTTGCTTAGCTTTTGGGCTCATGCCTAGTGCTCTACCACCTGAGCCATGCCTCCAGCCCAGCTTTTCTATGGGCTAATTGGAGATGGTGTCTAACAGACCATTCTGCCCTGGTTGTGTTTGAACTGGGATCCTCAGATCTTAACTCTCCTGAGTAGCTAGGATTATTGGCAGGAACCACTGGTACCCAGCTTGAAAAGAATCCTTTCTGATAGTAACAAGCCAACCAGCCAACCCACCTCAGCCTTCAGGAGATATTTTTCCCCCTATTTTCATTTACTGCCAGTGTTTATTACATCCTCATTGTTCTGAATTTCTCCTTATAATTATTGTGGCAAGAAGGCCAAGAGGGTATTGTAATTCAGAGTCCATTTAGGCTTACTACATTTGTTTTCTAGGGTTGACATCATGAAGTACAGGAGAGTGGGTGGCATGAACAATAGACGTGAGTTTGCTCATGATTCTGGAGGCTGAAAGTCTGAGAAGAAAGCTTCAAACTGATCTGATTTCTTCTGAGGTTTCTCTCCAGGGCTCCCAGAAAGCCGTCTTCACCCTGTGTCCTCACACCACCCTTCCTCCTTCTTTGTGTGTCTGTGCCCAAGATCGCTCCTAAACACACAAGCCACACTCACATGGCCTTATTTGTACTGCTGTTCCTTAAGTGCTATCTCTCAATATAGTCACATTCTGAGGTACTGGGGGATAGAATTTCAAAATGGGATTTTGTCCCATGATTTCATAAAATAACTAACAGAACACCTCCTTGACTTGATTTCTGATCTACCTTCTCTGGCTGACTTCCTGAGAGGGAGTACACTCCATCATTGTGGGTGGGAAAATGTATTGGGGGTTGAATTTAGAGCTTGTACAGGCTGACATTTGCTCTACCTGTTGAGCCACACCTCCAGTCCTGGTTCTCACTGGCTTGTTTAATTAATTGTGTCCAACTAGGGGCACATTTGAGCTGCCATGAGCCTACTTTGAACTTCCCATTATGGCTGGGGTCACAGCCATGTGCGACAGTATTTAATTCTGGTAGAGATGGAGTCTTGTGAATTTTTTCCCCAGCTTGGCTTAGAAGCTGGGTCCTCCCAATCTCAGCTTCCTAGGAAGTTTGGGATGACAGATGCATCCACTGTACCCAGTTATAAATTGAGGAGTCTCTCAAACTTTTCTGCCCAGGATGGCCTTGAACCACAATTCTCCTACTATTAAGTATCCCAAGTCACCAGGATTACAGGCATGAGCCATGGTATACATTTTAAATACACTGTATACACTTTAAATTTTGTTACAAATAGAATTTGAACTTAGAACACCTTAGAAAGTTAAAGGCTCTGAGGTTATCTAAGAAAACCGCAATCTCTTAGGTTATGTGGTAAAGAAAGAGAGCCTGTAAAAATAACTTTCCTGATTTTCTGATAGCTGAGATAATCTTGGAGTGGTTTGATTTAAAGTTTTCTGCCTCATGAATTTTCTTTTGACTAAGTTAAATATATATATTTTTAATCCTTAAATAGTTGTACAGAGGTGTTTCAATTCAACATGTTAAACTGTGAGTACAATGCGCCTCAATCAATGGTGCATGAATTTTTTATTTCGGTAGGATCTTCTTCTAGATTAGAAGAAGGTTCTCCTTCTTAGTTGGTATGTTTTACTATGTGGTTTCTTGGTAGTAATGGATTGCATAAATTTCCCTCAGCTACGCAGAGGGAAATTCACACTCTCCCACTGAAAAGCACACTTGTGATGGTTCATATATGGTAAGTTCCCAATGGTGGTCTGAAAGCAATCCAGCTAACATTTTCTTCTAGAAAAATCTGAATTTCCATATAAAAAGACCTCGCCTGAGTCTTCCAATCGAGTAATAGGAGGGTCGATGTCCAGGACCTACCTTGAGGTTTGGGCTTGGTCAGTTTGCCACAGGGCTTGGAGATGGTAACTGTCTTCTGGCAGTCGGCGTTGTGGAGGGCTCGCTTCAGGTTTCCAGTCCTGGTCTTCAGGGCCGTGTTCAGATCACATTCTCCCCAGGCCTGGAACTGGTATTTGCACTCAGCTAAAGGTAGGGTAGAGTCAAACAGAAAACTTTGGAGTGATCCTCCTGGGGTGCCATGATAAAGAAAGAAAGGCATACATCTGCTTACAACTTACCGGATTCAATAACTGCAGATTTCCAGGCACTTAGAAGAAACAATACACAGATTTTCCCCCCATTTCCCTCTGCTTTCTCCAGTTGGGCTAGCTTGCCTAAGAATAGTCCAATCAGACAACCATGACCATGTGACATGCTCTCACACCAGGAATGTCATCAGTTTTACGTGCACTGGCTGGTGTGATAATATGCATATTTTGTTCTGTGTAGTTTTGTCACATGGCCATTGTCACTGATGCACAAAACCCTCTCTAACACCAGAGGCCCCATCGATAGCCTTTTATAGTCATACACTTCCTATGGCTTGGGTCCCTAGAAACCACACATCCTTTCCTCAATTTGAGAATTCCTCCATCTTAAAGTGGTTTATAAATGGGATCAAACACTAAGTAAACTTTAGGAATTAGCTATTAATTATTATTTTTTTAACTTAGCACAGTTTACTGGCTATCCATCTAAGTTGTGTGTTTCAGTAAACTGATTCTGCTCATGGCTGGGTAGTATCCCATCGTACAGAATTTAGCACAGTTTTTTTAAGCATTCAACAGATGAAGGACATCTGGGTTGTTTCCAGAGGTTGCTTGAATTAAATAAAAATGGCTCTGTATATTTATGTACGTGATGTTTAGAAAACAAGTTCTCCTTTCTCTGGAATAAAATCACAATCATTCCTGAGTTGCATGTTAAAGTATATGGATGTTAAAATATACCATCTTTTTGGTGAAATATCTACCACTGTATTTTATGTTCTCTCTTACTTGTTAATATGAGGATTTTTTTAACTAGTAAATTTTGAGAATTCTTTAATGTTCTTGACACATAGCAAACATTTCTTATAAACCTTTCATAGTTAAATCTTGAAAGTGCTCAGATGGATACAATTTAAGACCTAATGTATATAAGCTCTATTGTATTTTTATGAGGCTCTAGCAGGAGAAACAGATACATGTGCTCAGTCCTTTACTTCTCTACTTGCCTACAAGCCCCTGTATATTCCCACAAAACACAGCAAGGGCATATGGTATGTGGTAACCCTCTGTGACCAGGAAAGGCAACCCATAAACCCTGGAATGTGATAGAGAAAAGTGACTTGGGAGTTGGCTATTGGGTTAAAGTTGACATGGTCGACAGGCTTGCCTCAAGTAGATAGGGCAAACGAGCAGGAGGCTGACTATTGTAAATGGGAGAAACATCCATAAAAACCATCTGGGAATCAGCTCTGTTGGATTCAGTAAGTCAATTTAGAAACTGTGTAGAAAGTGCAAAGGACTCAAAAGGGAGAGAGCCTGAGAATAATGCAGACATGGAAAAGAAATGAGAAAAGAGGACAAGGAAAATAAATGTAGAAACACAAGAAGAAAAGAGAAGGAAAACCAATGGAATCAGTGGAAGGGTTCAAGGACACATTATATGTCGCTAGACTGCTGTGCTTTCTTAAACAAAGATGGTTTTGCTGGGCCCTGGTGGCTCATACCTGTCATCCTAGTTACTCAGGAGGCTGAGAACTAAGGATAGTCATTCAAAGCTAGCTAGGGAAAGTGTGAGACTTTTATCTCCACACACACATACAAAAAACCAGAAGTAGAGCACTAGCTTTGAGCCAAAAAGCTCAGCAACAGTGCCCTGGCCCACAGTTCAATACCCAAGACCAAGAAAAACAAACAAACAAAAAAAAAAGGATGATTTCCCCTCACCCTCAGGAAACACTGGATGGCAAATGTCTGGAGACATTTTTATTTTTCACTCCTGGTAGGAGTACGATATATTATTGGAAACTAGTGAGTACAAGTAAGGATGTTGCTCTACCCTATACTGTACAATGTGAAAGAATTGCTTGATCCAAATGTCACTATTAAGATGAGAAACCTGGCTTGAGGCCAGATGTCTGGTCACCTCAGGTCTGTTCAAATTCATTCATTTAAAATAAACAATGCCAGACCTTGAAAAAACATTGGTAGAAAGATCATTGCAGAGAAGGATATCCAATCAACAGGTCAGGAAAGTGAAACTTACCTCCAAACTGCTTTTTCCAGTTGCAAGGTATCTTACATCTCTGGGTCTTCATGGTTTGTTTGCACTCAGCTCCAGTCCGGGTACCCTCCCGGGTACCCAGCCCACAATCCCCACTGGTGGGTACACACACACTCCACTGCCATTCTCCACAATCAGACTTCTTTGCTTTTTTCTCTGGAAGAATAGAAGCAGAAATAGTCAACAGTTAAAAAAAAAAAAGCCCACACAACACCCCTCTACCTCCTAAATAAAACTATGCTAAATTTCTGAATGCCTTAATGACCAGGCTTGTGCTTTTCACCTCTGTCTATGTTGTCTAGTGTAAGTAGCGGGATGTGAGGGTGTCAGTCCAAGGATCAGATCATTGAATGATCAAGAGAAGAGAAAGAAAACAGAGGAAGGGGTTGGAGCCAATATTGATGTGATTCTCACTATGTGTCAAGAGCTATTCTAAGTGATTTACTGATATCTTTTAGAAGTGACATATTTCTAGGAGATAGAGAAGGAAAGGGTGAGTAGCAGTGGGAGGGAAAGGGGAAGAGAGAGGGAGAGAAACAAAGCTTAAAAGTTCAGAAAGCATTCAATGAGAAGAAGCAGTTGTCAGACGAGGCATGGTAGGTGCACACAGATGTTCTCCTTCTGTCTCGTAGATGGAATGACGTAGCAGAAGTGGGTGGGTCATAGATTTAGACTCCCATCTCCACGGCCTGCTTGTGACTGTGTAAGAAAGGGTGTAAGAGAGGCCTTTTGTTGATGTCCCTTGTAGGCTTGCGTCCCTTCATTTGTAAATCTAAGTAAGAGTTAAGAAAAATTCTTCCAGGTCATTAATTGAAGAGGAGAAGTAATTTAAGTAAACGGCTACTATGACTATTTCTACTACAGTGCTATCCTGCTTCGAAGAGCTTTTCACTCTCCCTTCTCGAATAGTAGCACTTCATGACTGATGATTGTTTTCTACCTAGTACTCACTAATAGAATCAGACTTTGGGAGTTTCAGTAGTAGAAAAGTAGCCGGAGCACCACTGAGGTTCCTCTCAGAAGAAGAAGAAGGCAGGGGAGGAGGGGAGGAGGACTCAAGGCAGGTACTACGTTCCCAACAGCATGGCTTCTTGGCTCGGTTGCTTACCTGGCTTCTCTTTCTTCCCTGCGTCCGCAGTGTCCACAGCTGCCAAGATGAAAATGAATGCCAAGAAGGCGGCTGCAAATTTTCGACGCTGCTGCTGGTGTTGTTGGAACTGCATCCTAGGAACAGACAGAGAGAAGAAGGTGCCATCAGTTGAAGCTCGCCATGAAGGATTCCACTTCCCACTGCTGGGATGCTGGATCTCAGGAAGATGCACACTGGTGATGGTAGTGAGATGATTATTTTACCTTTGCTCCGCAGTGGCCGTTGAAATAAGCGCCTTCTGCAGTTTCCTATTTACTGACCAATGCAACAATTCCCTAGCTAAGACCTCACAATGGTGTTCTAGGTATGCTTCTGGGGCTATGAAAGGAAGGCATGTATTTGGGTAGACCCATGCAGTACACTTGTCTGGTAGCATTATTTTGTGGTATTAACAGATAACACCAGGTTCAGAATTCCCAACCATGTCTAGAAACAACTGTTGTTTGATAGGATGTGATGAATAGATTTTCTATGCAATTCTGTTCATTGTCTTTAGACACATTGGGTAATGAAGAAGGTCTCTGATCTTTATTTTTATTTTTTTTTACCACTTTCCATAATCATTTCTATCATCTGACCATCATTCCATTAGAGGGGAAATTTTTTCATTTAATAACTTCCAATCTCTTCTCTTGAAAAACAGCAGATTGGAAGAAGAAAGCTTCTCTTTTCTAACACAATTGAGTGGAATCTAGAACTTTTTAAAAATGATCTTTAAGTCATTGTACAGAGGGGTTATGATTTAACATGTCAGTTTATGTATATAATAAATACACCTTGAACAATGTTATCCCTTTCATAATTCTTTCCCATCTGTCCCAATCCCACCTATCATCAATTTTCCTAGTTCCATTTTCACATATATATATATATATATATATATATATATATATATATATATATATATATACACATACACTGGATATTATTCCTGTATTTGCCTACCCTTCTTCTCTCCATTTGTCTGTCCCCTCTTGACCTCTCCCCCCTGACAAAATTTCTTACAGCTTCCTGATATTCATTTAGTTAAACTGTAAGTTAGTTATTCAAAGGAGTTGCACCATGGAATCCTTCCCTGCATCTACCATAGATTAGTCCATTTGTTGGCTAAAATCAAGAATTTCTAAGATGCTAATTATCATCTGAGCAAAGGACAGGCCAAGAATGGTGGAAACTGTTCCTCAGTGATTTATTTGGAAGGACCAATACAGGATGTAGAGAGAAAGGCTTTGACTCAAACGTCAATTCCATCATTTATTTTGGGAAATGCTTTTGAACACACCCACTAATGTCTGTTTTTGACATCTCCCAAGTGTGAATACTTTGTGGGACTCCTAAGTAGTAGCATAACTACTAAACAGGCTATCATTAAGAATGTAGCGCTAGAGATAATCCAAAATATTAAGAAATATATTATTAGTTCCAGAATAGAATTAATTGACTCCATAGCTTTCTCACCAACATATGAAGTGTCTCAAAAGGCCCCAATATTGAAAGCTTTGATTATTGTTGGATGCAAGCAGGCAAGTTTGGGGGAAAGTATCTGAATCATGAGGGCTCTGTCTTCATTAACTAAAAATCCAAAATCTGACTCGACTGTTGAGAAGGGGAGGGAGTATGTGGGGAGCTGGGCCTTGGTTGGAGGAAATAGGTCAGTGGAGTGGACCTTCCATAACTGATGACTTTCTTGCCCTGAACGCCCTTCCTCCATGACAGGAGCAGATCTGCTCCCCTAGATACAGGTCTGCTATGATGTTCTGCTTCATCATGGACCAGAAACAGCACAGCCAGACAACAATGGGTGTAACCTCTCAAACTTAAGCCAAAATAAGTCTCTCCTCCTTTAAACTGTTTCTCTTAGGCAATGAAAAGTCTGACTAAAACAAATTGCCTCTTTTTATTGTTGAGAAAAGGAAGAAGCATTATTCTTAAACCAATAAAACAAACACATTTCAAATAAAACAAAACAAAAGAGGTAGAGATGTAAAGGAATGAAAATCAACTAAGTTTATTCAGCCTAATGGGATACTTTCATGGGGCGGGGGGAGGGAGCTGGTCCTGAGGCTTGAACTCATGAAGACCCTGGCACTGTCCCTACCTATTTCTTTCAAGGCTAGCACTCTACCACTTAAGCCACAGCTCCACTTCTGGCTTTTTGTGATTAGCTGGAGATAAGAGCCTCACAGACTTTCTTTCCAGGTTGATTCTGAGCCACAATCTTCACATCTGAACCTTCTGAGTAGCAAGGATTACAGACACTAGTACCTGGCCTGTTTGTACTTTTTGAGAGCCTAATATCAACCCAAAGCCCTTCATTCCTGGAATAACTTTTGAGTTCAGATGGGAATCCTATATTACATAAGCAAGTCTTAAAACACTAAGCAAATCTCATAATAATACACCAACAATTATGACTCTATTTTTTTGTCAGTTGTGGGGCTGGACACTGTCCCTGAGCTCTTTTGCTCAAGGCTAGCACTCTACCATGTTGAGCCACAGCACCATTTACAGTTTTGAGTGGTTAACTGGGGATAAGTCTCACAGGGACTTTTCTGCCCCAGATAGCTTTGAACCATGATCCTCTGATCTCAGCCTCCTCAGTAGCTAGGAATATAGGTATGAGCCACCAGTGCTCAGCTTGAGTCTTAACAACACTTAAAATTATCTTTGCTAGTAATATCTTTTGTCCTTCATTTTTTATATTTGCTTAGTATCTCTTATCAAGAGTTTTAACCATTAACCATCATCTGCATTAGAAATCTTATTAATTATAGTTATAAAAGCATCCATATATTTATGTTCATAATTAGTACTTATATCTATGTCTCTCTAGCGAGTTCATTAGTTTGAAGCCATTTTCTATGATAATCCCTTAGAAATGCATGCAGAAATATTATTACTTGAATTGCTTTATGTGCTTAACAGTCAGTTTGGCTGGATAGAGTATCCTAGATTCTGAGCTTCTTTCCTGCCTAAAACATGTTCCTATATTTTTCTTATGTCATAAACATTTCCATTGAAAAATCTAATCATGATACAATTTTCTTTTCCTTCTGAATAGAAGAGCATTTTTGCTGAGAAGTACCCCACAAAATATTTGAAGTACAATAATTTTCCTGACGTATAACTTGATACTGTTCATTATGGGTTGATATTCTCAATCATGAGCCTTTTTTTTGGTATATTTTCAATATTTGCCAGTTTATCTCAACTCTGTTAAGGTATTTTTTTCATTTTAAAGAAAATTGCTCTTGTTTTGTTCTATTTATCTTAGCTATTACTTGCATTTATTTAATCTTGTATTTCTGCTAGTACTCATTTCTGAAATATTTTTCTTTTATTTCTAATTCTTCAGTTTTGTCACTTCATTCTTGAATCTTCTAATGTGAACAATGATATTCTTCAATATTTTATATCATTTCCTTAATGTTTTCTGGCTCATTTCGTAAGTATTTTATAGACAACTTTTTTCTCCCCCTTAAACACCTTCAAACATTTTTTCTTTGCTTAGATGGACTTAGTTCACTCCTTGTTCTCCTGGTTCATTTTCATGGTTACTTTGCACAAGCTTCTATTTTAACACATTTCCCCATTCACATTTATGTTCAAATCCCTTTCTAATTTTATAAAATAAATTCTATTTTCTAGGTAATGATTAAAATCAAATAGCAAGTTTCTGAGAGTTCCTGGTTCCACTTCTTCTCTTTACTTATGTCTAGACTTTGTTTTATTTCTGCTGCTGCTCCCTTGATTGACTTTGATTTTATTCCCAGGCGTTAATCCTCAGTGGGAATTCCTTTCCTGGAAAGAGGTCTGGGTGAGGAAGCTTTTATTCTCAAATCTGCCCACCAGAGTTTACAGTGAATGCCTGGGAGCCATTTGGGACTCTCCTTTTCGGGTGTCTCTGATGTTTTCAGGTTCCTTCTGCTCTTTTCCATTCAGACATCAGTAGATTCCAGATCTTCTGCTTCTTGGTGAAATGTGTCTCACCTGCATTTACTTTTAGATTCGTGGGAAGTAACCTCTCTTGGGTTTTGTTTTAACTCTTGTCCATGGATCTTGGCTTTACCTACCATCTTTCAGACTGTTCCATTTGATTCTATATGATGATTTAGGAAGAGCTCCTAAACCATTCGCCCATTTCCTTCTTCCCCAAATTAATATACTATTTCATTAAGCTTTGAGGAGGGACCAATACAGTGCCAGTTGTGGACCCACAGTCTCAAGAAAGAAGAGGAAGAGTGCTAAAATAGGTCTTTGGGCCGGTCCTCATAAAACTTGCACTCTAATAATGCTTACAGTAATCAAAACAAAGCCAGTTATCATTCCCTATGCTACCATAAGAATCACAGAATGTTATGGAGTATAAGAAGAAGACAACTATTTTACAATCGCTTTGTTATAAAATAAAATAAAGATCAGTTGAGGCCAAATATTTAATTTCTCTGATTTCCCTGTAATGTAATTTATAGATAGAAATTCAGTTATAGAGAATTAACTAGTAATAATAGTCCTGATCATTATTCTGCCTAACTTTTCTTACTTAGAAGTAATCATTTTTATTTAGCTTAAGGAAAACTGGTTTGGATTTATCAGTCAGGAAAGAAATCATTTAATTAATTAACAAATGTATTTAGAGAATTTACTACACTCAAGGAAGTAGTTTATGTATATTTACTTAGGGTGATAGCTTATTTAACATTATCAAAATGTACCTATTTAGCTATTTTAAACTTAGTTACAGGAAAGAGTTTGTTTCCCATGGGTATAAATGGCTAGTGATGGCTGTAATCCTGTATGTAGATTAAATTTCTGGCCCCATAATGCATATATTTAGTGAGCAAGCTACAAAATAACATGCCAACAAACAGACAAGTACACAAAGTCATTGATAAAATAGTTTTTGATTGTGATAAGTTTGCGAAATACACACACACACACACACACACACACACACACACACACACACACACACGGTGATATGATGAAGCATGACGAGAGAAAGAAGATTCAGGCGGGAAGGCAATGCCTAGCTTTATGCACAGAGCTAAGAAAGAACGAGTGACATGAATCC